TATGTCCATCTGATTGTCAAGGAACAGGTAATATACACCGACAATGGCGGTTTTGCCCTCTGTGTAGGGCCGCATGGAAGCCATGGTGCAAAACTCGTTTGCTATAATGCCCATGAAACTCCTCATGGCAGAATTGGGTGGCTTCTCTTCTGCATCCAAACAAAACTGACGCTTGTGAGTTTTGGCACGGAGATCAAGTCCACCCAAATTCCATCTAGGGTGCGTTTTCCAATCGTGAATGACACCTTATGCGGAGAAATTACACACAGGCATTAATTTACCATCCTCGATTTATCGGACATAACTCGGGCACCAGCAGGGATGTCCGTCTCTCGGGCAAGTTCGACAATGGTCCACTCTCTGTGATCAAGTGTTCAGCACTTGATTCATGCTCCCTGTTTTCTTGAGCATGATGAACATTATAAGGCCTTTCTCAGCCAGTTTTTTCCTTCTCCGTCCTTTGAACTTCTAAACGAAATCTTCCACATTCTATTTTGGGAACATCACTATACGCAACTACTGGTCTGGGAAAGGTCAAATTTCACCGGCGCACTTTCTTGTATGACGCCCGATTCCATAATCCACCGCTGACTCGAGAATTTGTCCTATGACTAGGTTTGCGTAACGTCACAGATACATAGCTGAAGGTACTAGCTCAAAAATGGTATACTAGCCCGCTGCCCTATCCGCCTTGATTTTCTGGCATTCCTCTATATATGTCTCCACCTATTTAAACGGGATGACCTCATACAATATGCAATGGCACGGTAGATCTCTGAAACGTATTCTTTTACAAGAACGGTATGGAAATAAAAGATTCCCAAGAATGTTCTAATATTCTTGTGCCTTACGAGGTTGTTAGGTGGAACATTTATTAAAATGGCCTAACGTTTCGACTTAATCGTCGTCTTCAGAGGCCAGTGGTTCCACCGTTTGAGCGGATAGGTCCGCTGCCACACTAGAGCGCTGTTAGTAGAAAAAAAGTAGTGTCAGTGTCTTTTTTCTACTGACAGCGCTCTAGTGTGGCCGCGGACCTATCCGCTCAAACGGTGGAACCACTGGCCTCTGAAGACGACGATTAAGTCGAAACGTCAGGCCATTTTAATAAATCTTCCGCCTAACAACCTCGTAAGGCACAAGAATATTGAAACATCAACAGTCAGGTATTTGATTACCCTAAAAGCGAGGCAGAAAG